ATACATTCATATATTATATTATACACTATTATATCATATTATACACTCATATTATATTATACACTCATATTACATTATCTATTATAAACTCATTAGATTATACACTCATTATATTATCTATTATAAATTAATTCTATTATAAACTCATATTATATACTCATTATATTATTATATTATCTATTATAAACTCATATTATATTATACACTCATGATATATTATAAACTTATTATATTATACACTCATTATATTATCTATTATAAACTCATTATATTATTATATTATCTATTATAAACTCATATTATATTATACACTCATTATATTATCTATTATAAACTCATTATATTATTATATTATCTATTATAAACTCATATTATATTATACACTCATATTACATTATCTATTATAAACTCATTAGATTATACACTCATTATATTATCTATTATAAATTAATTCTATTATAAACTCATATTATATACTCATTATATTATTATATTATCTATTATAAACTCATATTATATTATACACTCATGATATATTATAAACTTATTATACACTCATTATATTATCTATTATAAACTCATTATATTATTATATTATCTATTATAAACTCATATTATATTATACACTCATTATATTATCTATTATAAACTCATTATATTATTATATTATCTATTATAAACTCATATTATATTATACACTCATATTATATTATAGTATACACTTCTATTATACACTCATATTATATTATACACTCAGTATATTATATTATACACTCATATATTATCATAGTATACACTCATATTATATTATACACTCATATATTATATCATATGATACACTGATATATTATGTTATACACTCATATATTATATTATATTATACACTCATATATTCTATTATACACTCATATATTATACACTCATTATTATATTATACACTCATATTATATCATAGTATACACTTCTATTATACACTCATATTATATTATACACTCATATTATACACATATATTATATTATACACTCATATATTCTATTATACACTCATATATTATATTATACACTCATATATTATACACTCATATATCATATTATACACTCATTATTATATTATACACTCATATTATATTATAGTATACACTTCTATTATACACTCATATTATATTATACACTCATATTATATTATACACTCATAGTATATTATATTATACATTCATATATTATATTATACACTATTATATCATATTATACACTCATATTATATTATACACTCATATTACATTATCTATTATAAACTCATTAGATTATACACTCATTATATTATCTATTATAAATTAATTCTATTATAAACTCATATTATATACTCATTATATTATTATATTATCTATTATAAACTCATATTATATTATACACTCATGATATATTATAAACTTATTATATTATACACTCATTATATTATCTATTATAAACTCATTATATTATTATATTATCTATTATAAACTCATATTATATTATACACTCATTATATTATCTATTATAAACTCATTATATTATTATATTATCTATTATAAACTCATATTATATTATACACTCATATTACATTATCTATTATAAACTCATTAGATTATACACTCATTATATTATCTATTATAAATTAATTCTATTATAAACTCATATTATATACTCATTATATTATTATATTATCTATTATAAACTCATATTATATTATACACTCATGATATATTATAAACTTATTATACACTCATTATATTATCTATTATAAACTCATTATATTATTATATTATCTATTATAAACTCATATTATATTATACACTCATTATATTATCTATTATAAACTCATTATATTATTATATTATCTATTATAAACTCATATTATATTATACACTCATATTATATTATAGTATACACTTCTATTATACACTCATATTATATTATACACTCAGTATATTATATTATACACTCATATATTATCATAGTATACACTCATATTATATTATACACTCATATATTATATCATATGATACACTGATATATTATGTTATACACTCATATATTATATTATATTATACACTCATATATTCTATTATACACTCATATTATATTATACACTCATATATTATACACTCATATATCATATTATACACTCATTATTATATTATACACTCATATTATATCATAGTATACACTTCTATTATACACTCATATTATATTATACACTCATATTATATTACACACTCATATTATACACATATATTATATTATACACTCATATATTATATTATATTATACACTCATATATTCTATTATACACTCATATATTATATTATACACTCATATATTATACACTCATATATTATACACTCATATATTATACACTCATATATCATATTATACACTCATATATCATATTATACACTCATTATTATATTATACACTCATATTATATTATATTATACACTTCTATTATACACTCATATTATATTATACACTCATAGTATATTATATTATACACTCAGTATATTATATTATACACTCAGTATATTATATTATACACTCATATATTATCATAGTATCCACTCATATTATATTATACACTCATATATTATATCATATGATACACTGATATATTATGTTATACACTCATATATTATATTCTATTATACACTCATATATTCTATTATACACTCATATATTATATTATACACTCATATTATACTATACACTCATATATTATACACTCATATATCATATTATACACTCATTATTATATTATACACTCATATTATATCATAGTAAACACTTCTATTATACACTCATATTATATTATACACTCATATTATATTATACACTCATAGTATATTATATTATACATTCATATATTATATTATACACTATTATATCATATTATACACTCATATTATATTATACACTCATATTACATTATCTATTATAAACTCATTAGATTATACACTCATTATATTATCTATTATAAATTAATTCTATTATAAACTCATATTATATACTCATTATATTATTATATTATCTATTATAAACTCATATTATATTATACACTCATGATATATTATAAACTTATTATATTATACACTCATTATATTATCTATTATAAACTCATTATATTATTATATTATCTATTATAAACTCATATTATATTATACACTCATTATATTATCTATTATAAACTCATTATATTATTATATTATCTATTATAAACTCATATTATATTATACACTCATATTACATTATCTATTATAAACTCATTAGATTATACACTCATTATATTATCTATTATAAATTAATTCTATTATAAACTCATATTATATACTCATTATATTATTATATTATCTATTATAAACTCATATTATATTATACACTCATTATATTATCTATGTTAGTATCTAAAACCTAATGAGGTGTGAAAACCACAAACCGCAGGAGAGACAGGCGGCGCGTGCTTTCCCTGGGTGGCCGTCGGTTCGTATAACCGAACGCCAAGCAGGGAAAGCAGTTGTTTCCCAAACGCGCCTTCCGCACAGTTTCAGGTCCCTAGGTTGGGGATCACCATACCTGCTCCTAAAGGAGCCATAATCACTATTTCCCCTACCCGGGAGCTACGACCTTAAAGTTCACAGATTATCGGTATCGGCTCTAAAAAAATCAATATCGGTCGATCCCTAGTTCCAAATAAAGATTGTCAGTGTTTTAACCTCCAGAACTGTGTCTCATCTGGTTACTGGAGGGAAGGAAGATTTAACCCCTGTGTCTGCTGTTCCAGCTTGCAGGGGATGCAGCGGGAAAAGTTCTTGTAAGGACTAAAAGAGCTAGTTCCCCCCATCCGTTTCCCCTGGTACTTTTTCCATAGTGCACCTACTGCAATCTCTTCCCTAGGTAAATGACGCACACGCACCCCACTTTTCACCTGATCAAAAAGAAAACATGATTTTTTTGACCAGGCAGCCTTCTTACAATGCTCACTGGTCCAGTTCTGATGCTCACGTCTCTATTAAGGGCATTTGCAGTATTGGATAGGGGTCATCATAAGAACTCTGACTGGTTTACGGCTGTGCAGCCTCGTACATAGCAAACTATGATACACAGTGTGTTCTGGAATATTTTAGCAATTTAAGCTACAGCAACTCTTCTGTGTGATCGGCCCATACATGTAGCCTTCACTCACAATGTGCATCATTGAGCCTTGGGCACCCATGGCTCCAGCTTACCGGTTGTCTTTCCTTGCACCACTTTTGGTAGGTACAAATCACTGCATACCAGGAACACTCCACTAGATTTGCAGTTTTGGAGACACTCTGACCCTGTCATCTAGCCATCACTATTTGGCCCTTGTCAAGGTCACTCGGATCTTTTCAACATTTTTCCTGCTTCCAACACAGGAAAATTCAAGAACTGACTGTTCACCTGCTGCCTAATATATCCCAGCCCTATACAGGTGCCAATGTAACGATACAATCAATGTTATTCACTTCACCTGTCAGAGGTTTTAGTGTTGTGCAATCTACAATCATACTTACCCTCATTAGCAATAAATTATTCTGTTCACTACTTTAATCATTGATCAGACCTCATTTAGATATAAACACCATAAATCATGGGAGAAGTGGGTGAACTAGGCTGCACACCAGGATACACGGTCAGATGAAATACTCAGCTCATGGTCAGCTAAATTTATTTATGAATAATAAAGTTAAGAATTCTCAGGTTTTTAGCAATTGGCTCCAGACAGCCCTCTTCGGGAGCATATCACGCCAAAACAGCAGTTTAAGAAATGCACAGCAAAATATTATTCTGGCAATATCAGAAAAAAAGAATTTCATACAACCTTGTTATTGTACAATGTGTAAGGCATTGTTAAATATTATAATACAAAAACTGTATGTTAGCCTTTCAGTGTATGGAAATGGAAACAGCAAGCAGTGAGGATCTGATATTGGCCATGAGATGGTTTAGTGTCTGTACTCAACAGTGAGGATTAGATAATGGCTGTTCTGCTGTCTGTTCTTGGTGTGAAATGTGGAGGATATTAGCTGGTAGCTGTTGGTGTGGAACACAGAGTGTATTAGCTGGTAGCTATTCTGCTGTCTGTTCTTGGTGTGAAACATGGAGGGTATTAGCTGGTAGCTGTTCTGCTGTCTGTTCTTGGTGTGAAACATGGAGGGTATTAGCTGGTAGCTGTTCTGCTGTCTGTTCTTGGTGTGAAACATGGAGGGTATTAGCTGGTAGCTGTTCTGCTGTCTGTTCTTGGTGTGAAACATGGAGGGTATTAGCTGGTAGCTGTTCTGCTGTCTGTTCTTGGTGTGAAACATGGAGGGTATTAGCTGGTAGCTGTTCTGCTGTCTGTTCTTGGTGTGAAACATGGAGGGTATTAGCTGGTAGCTATTCTGCTGTTTGTCTTTGGTGTGAAACATGGAGGGTATTAGTTGTAGCTGTTCTGCTGTCTGTTCTTGGTGTGGAATGTGGAGGATATTAGTTGGTAGCTGTTCTGCTGTCTGTTCTTGGTGTGAAACGTGGAGGATATTAGTTGGTAGCTGTTCTGCTCTCTGTTCTTGGTGTGAAATGTGGAGGATATTAGCCAGTAGATGTTCTGCTGTCTGTTCTTGGTGTGGAACGTGGAGGGTATTCACTGGTAGATGTTCTGCTCTCTGTACTTTGCATGGAATGCGGCAGATATTCCTTGGAATATATTCTTGGGAAGTAGTTTAGTGAAGATATACCGAGCTGTTGCTTGTGATTAGTTTTGTTCTTGTCACTTCTAATTACTGGGATTCCTGATTTTGTCGTTTTATCAGTTCTGCATATAGCCCCCCCTTCTTCAGTAGCTCACGATGGCTGCCGCTCTGCAGAGGGTGAGAACAGAAGTTAGTACGCCTATTATATAATACATGGATTGCCTCTGACATGAACAGAAAAACAGAAAATAGCAATCTGTCAAAAAAAAAAATCAAACTACTGTCTATGACAGGACTTGACACAAAAAAGGTTTTCAAACAATTTTAACTCCTATAACTTGCTGTACAGATTATGATGTGATAATTGCCTCTGCGCTATTCAACGGAAATGGAGCAAACCATTATACAACAGTTTACCCTCTTAACTGGGTCCAGCTGGGGGCCGGATCGCATGTCCTGCTGGCTCAGGGCATCCAGCTTCTGCAGAGCTGAATTCCGATCCTGCCGGCCATTTATTGGCTGTGCCGGACTCGCTAATGAGGTGAAGGTGGAATTACACCACCTGCGATCAATGGGTTTAATGATGTATGTTCAGTGTTTAGCGAAACGCACCATGATCACTACACATCAATGAAGTTGTCATGGTACTTAGAGTAAACCTTTAACATTTGCTGTCACACGAGTCATCCTGGAGGACGCACGAGGATTTCACCCCAAATAGAGAGTGAGATCACAGGACTCTCTCCAAGGGGTCTCAATAAATGAAACACATACAACACATGGTTTTAATAGGAATACAGTTTATCTGACATTACATTTTATTGCTATGTAGGAAGCACTCAGACACTGCTAGTACATGAGCAAGACTATTTATTAAAGCCACAATTTCTGGGAATTCAAAGTGAATTTTGAAGGTAATTGACTTGGAGAATGTTTGGCTACCTTGGCCTTCAATCTGAAACTCCCTTTAAATTCAGTTTCAATTCCTGGCAATTTCACGTTAGTAAATGCAGCTGAGGATATAAAAAGGTCTTTTGGGTACAGCCTATCCATTCAGTGCAGTTTGGCCTTACACTGGAAATTCCAGCACGGTGTGTTTGTAACTGATAAATACATGTAAATGCATACAAGGTTCGGACAAACTCTGTATGTGACATTTCCTCATTATAAACAGGGTGCTGTGTACGAACGTTACATTATGGAGGTGCATTTTTAGGGCTTTTATGGTTATTTACTAAAGTAACAATTGTCGGGAATTTAAAGTAAATTCAGAGTGAATATCGAGTTTATGGCCTTATCAGCTGAGATTTTCTCTCTCTTTTTTTTTTTAAATCTTTTTATTAAAGTCTTTCATTTTTTTCCTTCCATAGACATTAAACTTTACAAAAAACATACAGAGTACAAACAATATAAAACCATTACAAAAAAACAATAAAAAAAATACAAAAACAAACCCACCACCCTACGAGAGTTCTCAAAGAATTTCCATCTTTTACTATGAATTAGATAAAATAACGATTTACATCGCCCTTAGTTTTTCTCCCAACTGGCCCATAGACTAGAATTGCTATTTAGAAATTCACAGTGATCTCTCTCCATCTTAAGTTGGTTGGCAAGTTGAGAAGTTATTTGTTTGATGGAATAAACATTGTTCCCCTTCCAATTTCTCGCTATTACAATCTTACAAGACATTAAACAATGTGTGATCAGAAAAAGTTCAGGTTTCTTACATTTTGGCCAGTTACAATGCAATAACATTACTTCAGGTTTTAAAAATATTTTTAACATTACACAATTTGTATATATTAGCTTGAGCCCACTGCCAAACTACGACCACTTTTTTACAGGACCACCACATATGAAGGTAATTTCCTTTATGTTGTCTACAATTCCTGCATCGAGCACCAAAATCCGTTGCAAATGTAGCTATTTTCACTGGAGTCATATACCAAAAATGTATTAATGTAAATTGTGTTTCTAATAAGACAGAGGAATGAACATATTTATAAATTTTATAAAAGGAAGATGACCATTCCTTTATATCGATATTTTTACTTAAGTCACTGTTCCAGATTTTAATAGCAGTGGGTATTGCCAGATCATAAGCACCCTCTAAAATTCTAACACATCTAGAGAACAGCTGTTTTATTTTACTCTGCTCTAAGATAGTCTTTAAAATATCGTACAGGGGGGAGGGGCGGAGCCTGACCGTGATCGAAGATGGACGCGTAGTCCGACGGCTCTCTCTCCCCCGTGAACACAATCCGCCTCCATCAGCTACCGCGGGCACTAATCACCCGCAAAAACGCACACAGCAGACTCCACAGACTGGGGCACCAGTTTTTTTTCTTCTCTGTTTGTTTCCTTTTATACAGTCGTAATAAGCTTGACAATGCTTTATTGACCTAGCGCTTTAAATCTCCTGTCTCGTTCAGCAGATCATAGGTGACATGTGATGAATGGGGGAGGATGAGAGAGACAGGGAAAGAGAGGGGAATGCACGACAGCTAAGGGACCCTCCCCACCCACACACAAGGGAAAGTCAGGGAGGACAGGGAGGGGGGAGAAAAGGAAAAACCACTTAAAAAGCCTATTGGAAACTGCACCCTGACCCGGGACACTGTACTCTCCGCATGCTCTGCAGGCACTAGATCTCTTATGTCTCTCTGATACTCTATACTTAATCTGCCTCAGAGTCTCTGTTAATAGGGACCTAGCGGAAAGAAAGAGGGAAGAGGGGGCTAACGATGGGCAGTGACTCAAGCTCACCCACAGAGGGGAGGGACAAATCAGGTGTCGAGAGGGTTAGGAGGGCCCTATGGGAAGACGAAAGACGAAGTACACCAGCCCACCCGGCAACTCCCGAACACCGCACACCCCCTGAGAGACAACGCTACACCCCTCACCGAGGACCCCCCCGGGTGACAGGTTACATGCCGACAGGCCCCACACAGATCCACTGAACGCAACCACCCCAAAGAACCCACGGGTCAAGCAAGCTTAACCCAGACATCGACCACCCCCTCCCCAAACAGGAGCCCCCCCACACAGTGTATAAGACAGGAGACCAGTAAAAGGCACCTGAGGAGGAGGGAGAACCTCCCTTTTCTTTGAACGACACTCTGCTCACCAACACAGTTTTTTCTAAATACGATGGTTTTCCCCCCTTTTTGTGTTTCCAGGTTTACAGCTATAGACACGCCCAGACCGGGACCCCACTGGCCCTCAACAGAGAACCCAGTTTCACCGGAAAACCCACCAGGTACACAAGGTAAAACTTCACGGGGGGGGAGGAGAGGTGGACGTGTACATCCCTCCTCTTCTCTTCTCATCCCTCACACTCCACACGAGAACCACCCCTCACAAGGGGGAATCACACCACACCCATAACCCCTACATTTCCCTCCCGTCCACCAGGCTTGGCACGCACATAGTAAGACCAAGCCCCACTCAGTCAACCTCCCTCGGTCCCCTCCCTCGGTCCCCCCCCCGCCCCGCCCGCCGAATAACAGGGTGACCACACCACAATGCCAACCTCCACACTCACATGTGTTTCGATAAATTGCAAGGGCCTGAACAACCCGAATAAGAGGCACCGTGTCCTTCGATGGGCCTCTAGAACCAAGGCAGACGTTCTCCTCCTCCAGGAGACGCACTTTGAGCAACATAGGCCCTTCCCACTGCGTAATAGGCACTACACAGAAAGCCACCAGGCAAACTCACCCCAAGGGAAACATAGTGGGGTAGCCATTCTCATTCGTAAAACTTGCCCCATACAATTCACTGACGCAACCTCAGACCCACAGGGCCGATTCCTCACCGTCACGGGACACCTAGGCCCGAATCAATATGCAATCACCTCGGTCTACGCCCCAACGGTGCCGAATGCACATTTCTGGACGGCCCTACAGGCCCACCTGGGCCTATTCCCCTCCCACCACAAGCTGGTGGGGGGGGACTTCAATGCGGTGTCCTCTCCGCCCGCCGACAGACGCAGGACACAACAACTGAGACAGAAACCCCCACCCGAGGTAAAAACAGACAAACTATTCCACGCCTTCCTGACAAACACGAACCTAGTGGACATGTGGAGAACACAACACCCACTGACAATGGACTTTACATTCTTCTCCCACCCACACCAGTCCTACTCTCGCATTGACATGTTCCTGACCTCCCCATCCTTACTGCAATACACGGACACGACGGGGATAGGACATATCACGTGGTCGGACCACGCAGACATTACTATAACCATAACACTCCCAAACGCGCATAGACAATGGGCTTGGCGTCTAAACCCAACGTTACTCCACATCCCACAAATTAGAAACAAAATCGAAGAAGCCATACAGGACTTCTTTGCCACTAACAAAGGCTCGGTGCCTTCGGAAGGCACGCTCTGGGCAGCGCACAAGGCAGTTATCAGGGGTAGCCTTATCTCGGTGGCCACAGCCCACAAAAAAGAGAAACTTTCCCGACTCAACCACCACCTCAATGCACTCCGCACAACAGAACACGCTCACAAACAAAGCCCCACCCCTGACCTGCAACAAGAGATACAAGTACACAAACAAGCCATTCTAGACTTCATGGCTCAAGACTCGAAAAAAGCACTGCTATGGACAAAGCAGATGTTTTACGAGAAATCTAACAAAGCAGATTCCCTCTTGGCCAATAGACTTAAAAAGAAAACACAACACAAACGCTTAGCCTCAATCAAGTCCCCGGATGGCCAA